GGCCATCAGAACTGTCATCATGTTACCCTTGATGTCCTGCATGCCATCAAAATGTTTTCCTTTCAATATTTCCTTTATCTTCAGGTAATGAAAAATGTCCCTGGTGTGAGTAGGCAGGTGTCCCAATACAGTTATTTGTTTACTGGCTAAACCCTCCCTCACAGACAGTGCTGTGTGAGCTGGTGCATCGTCATGCTGCAAGAGCCACACCTTTCTCATGCCAAGATTGTCAGCTCAGAGTTCTCTGTTTCTCTATTGATGTTTACTTGATTGGCTGCTGTATTCTCAGTCAGCTGAGAATTTTGATGCACAACTTGATTAATGTCTGCAATATTTTTGTCAGTTCTACTCATAATTGGCTGTCCTCACCTCTCGTAATCAGTGACACTTTCTCTCCATTCAGGAAAATGTTTGTGTACTGTAGTTTTCTTCATGGCATTATCCCTATAAACTTGGAATACCATGTCCCTGATTTCACTTCCACTCTTGCTAGGTTTAACAAGAAATTTAATGTTCATTGCTCTAATTCAAGCTCTGACATTCTTGTTACAGCACAGAAAAACACTCAACAATAATGAACACCACTCAGCAACACAGTGCCACATGTCGGCAGAAGCACAGCTGTGAGGCACTGATATACCAAGGTTATAAAGCCTTATTGAGTTGTTTATACAGTGCTGCCAATGCAAGCACAGGGTGGCAAGTTTACAAACTTAATTGTCAGACCTCAGATGTGCTATTCTAATCTGTTTTGCAGCCTCAGTTTCTGAGAGACTAACTGGTAGCACACTGCCCACCTGCTTCTAGGTTAAATCAGTACGTATTCTGCAGGTCAGAATTAGGTTGAGAATATGGGTACATTTTTTAAAATTAGGATTGCAGTTTTAAGTTGTTTTCTGATGTAAAACTTTTGAGGTGTTTTGGTTTATTTTATGATGTGTTAGTGATTCAGAATATGGAGGCTGTCCCATTCAAATTCAGCCTTCTTTTCCATTTAGAAACAAATCATCTGTTGCTTTTCATTTGGTGCTTAATGACTGGAAAACATAAAGATGTATCAGTTCCTAAGCAGCCCATCAGGAAAAAAATTGAGTGAAAAATGGGTTAAAAGAGTCTTGGAGGTCATGAGATGAATCGGAGAGTTCTTTTCAGTGAAATGCCATTTATACTACTCTCCTATAAAATGGTTTAATCTCCCTGAAGAGGAACGTATTGTGTTTAAGGCATGAAATGGGTATTTTGTATTAATCAACCAGATACCCAAGCGAATACCTACTATGTGAGGAGGTGGGGAATCAAAGATGTAGAAGCATTCCCTTTACTGAGAGCACACACATGCTCTTAGGTCTAGTTCTACTGTGTAGTGGGGTATTTACAACATCTACACATCCTTAGCAAAGATATTGGCAGGGAGGTATGTGAAAATGAATTTACCAATGGGTGATTCTAGCACAAAGTGTTATGAGCTCAAAGGAGCACAATCTTGTTGGCTGAAAAACTTTCATGAAGGAGATGGGATCAAGTTCCAGGGGCTTGACTAGACCAAGTTCATCTCCTATAGGAAACAAAATGAACAAAGGTGTTGAGATATGAAAGTGTCTCATAGGATCCTCAGGTGGCCTCTTAGGTTGCACTGGAAAATTGGTGAAAGTGAAGAGTGGCAGAGAAGCTGGGATATATGAATTGGGACTGGATTAGGAAAGCTTTGCTGACATATCACAAAGAAAAATATACATTGTATTTATACTGTCATGCTATAAAATGACATGTATTTATAGCATGTCATTTTAAATACATTTATTTTTAAATTCACATTATAAGTTGTAATGATCCGGCTCGGTGCCTATAGCTCAAACGGCTAAGGCGCCAGCCACGTACACCTAAGGTGGCAGGTTCGAATCCAGCCCGGACCCGCCAAACAACAATGATGGCTGCAACCAAAAAATAGCCGGGCATTGTGTTGGGCGTCTGTGGTCCCAGCTACTTGGGAGGAGGAGGCAGGAGACTCGCTTGAGCCCAGGAGTTGGAGGTTGCTGTGAGCTGTGATGCCACGGCACTCTACCCAGGGGGGTAGCTTGAGGCTCTGTCTCAAAAAAATAAATAAATAAGTTGTAATGATCCTTTCCCTTGTGTATGTCCAAGAAATGTTTTGGTGTGTGGGGTTGTTTTTTGGGGGGAAGAAATGTTCAAGCTTTTAAGATTTTGGAAAAAGCAATGTTTGCTGAGTGCAATGCGTGTAGATGCCGTTTTAGCAGTGGGCCTGCTAGGGCTGTGCCTAGTGATTTATTATGCATCCTTTTTAATTCTTGTTTTGTTTTTTCTCCACAGGTGCTTGTGTCTATCAGGGTTCCTTGCTGGCGGTAGGTCATTTTTAATATATTTGGTTTATTTCTTTTGGATGTAAAATGGTCGATTGAGGTTACTGAGTGAGTGAAGTGACCTTATCACAGTTGGAGAATTAGCCTTCATCTTGGCATAATCATGCTCAATTATTTAATACCTTTTCCAGAGTGAGTTAGTTCCAATTGGATACTTGGGTATTGGGAGAGAAGTTCAAACACCCAACGCACAATTTGCATTCTGTGGCTGTCTTTTGTGTTTTTTCAATCAGAGAGAAAATTAGATCTCATCCTCTTGTCAGATACAAACGAGGGCACAAATTATTTATCTTCCTGTTGTATGTGCTTCCGCCTTTGAATCCTTCTCCCAGAAAAAGTATAGTTATTAAGTTCAGTAGAATAGGAAAGATTTCTGATTGTTGCTTTGAATTGTAAACTTAAGTTTTGGTGAATAACAAACAAATTAACATTTTTATCTCTGAACCGTTGCCATACAGGGTAGAATTGATTTTGAATTTAATGTCAGAATGACTTGGGGGAAAAGCTGATGTAAGTCGCATGCATTTCTTTTCATTAATAATGCACTATGGTGCATAACCGTGGTAAAGCCTTATTGAAAAGACTGTCTACACTCCATCAACTCTAATAACTGGTGTGACAAGTCATTCTTCACCAATTTTTTATTTTGGTTTAATAAATGCTATAATAAAACAGAACTGAAATGGCTGGAAAGAGTTTGCTCATTTACATCACAACCTACTGTGGAGATGTGTGATAGTAATAAGTCATCTTGGATTATCCTTGTGGTATTGAAAGAGATGAAGATTTCCGTAAGTATCCACGAGTCTAGCAAACTATAGATATTCACAGTAATATTCTTGAATCTGAACTTCCCATACTGCAGTTATGGCTCTGGAGATTTGTGTTTCTTTCTTCTTTGTGTTTTTGTATTAAAGAATCGGGAAAAAGCCATTTTCCTTCTCTTTCTCATTCTATGCCCGTAAAAGCAGACTTTTCTTTCTGCTTATTATTTAATATATTTTAGGAATCATTTTAAAATCAAAGTGTTCTAAAATGCACCATGAGTTTAGGGGAGCTGTAGTAGATGTGGTAGTCAACTCAGTAATCCATGTTAAAACAAAGAGGATTGTTTATTGAATAGAATGCTACATGATTTTTCCATATCTTTTCATAACTTTTGATCTATCTGATACTTATCAGACCAATAAAATAGGCAGGTCACATTATTTTCTGTCCTCCTCCTTTTTAGTGGAGAACCAAGGATGAAGTGAGATGAAGACATTTGCTAAGGGTAATGGACCAGTAAGAGGTGGCGCAGAACTAGGCAGCCTGCCTTCTGCCTGTGTTCTGTCCGTACTGGAAGAAAAGTCGCTAGATCATCTTCTGTAATTGACTTTGCTGTGTGTTATTGTACATTTGAATATGAAAGCATGAAATAATTGGAGAGGTTATTTTGATCAAATTAAAAGGAGAGACTGTCTTGCAGTCTTGTATTTAGCGCATGACCTTGTTCCCCTCTGTGCCATGCCCCAGATGAGCCCAGGGCTCATGGCCGCTCAAGGCCAGTGGTCCGGGCTCCCTCACACCAGCACACTCCTCACCCCTCCAGGTGACTTCTTTGCTTATCAAGGCTCTGCTGCATTTGTTTGAAAACCTTTTTAGGAGCTTGAGGTACTTATGATTGCAGTTATGGAATTCAGTCTGAGAGACAATACATTTATCATCATAATAAAGATTATTGTTAAACAAACATTTATTGAGTGACAACTATAGCCCTGCTATTCTAGGCACTGGAATGCATCAGGGAGCAGACAGATAAAATCCCTGCCCTTGTGGAGCTCGAATTCTAATGGGTAAAATGTATAGAATGCCAGATAGGGGGACTACGGGGAAACGCATGAAGGCATTGGGGTAGAAAATACTTGATATAGGGGACAGGGTGGCTGCTTTAATAGGGTGCCAGGGAAGGCTTCACTGAGAAGGCGGCATTTGCACAAAGAGGGACTTCGAGGTAATTGTAAGAGCTGGGCCCTTGGATATTGAGGGGAAGAGAATTCCAGAGGTGGGGGGAGGGGCAGCAAGTGTGACGTCTGCAGCAGAGCTGTTGGCCCCTGGAGGAAGTGGTGGCGGTCAGAGTGGCTAGAGCGCATGACCAAGGGCGTATGGCAGGAGACAGGCCAGAGAGGGGCACAGGGACAGAGCATGGTGAGCTTGTGCAGACCTCAGCTTGTCCTTTTGGGAAGGTGGGTGAGCCACTGGAGGCGCTAGGGAAGAGGAATGACAAAATCTGACTTATCATTTAATTAAACTGCTGAAATGAGAATGTGAAAAGAAAGAAGTGTTCTTGTTTCTAGGGAAACTGTGTTGAATCCTTTAAAAAGACTCCTCAGAGATGAGTCACTAAAAAAATTGCTGTCAAATTAAGTGCGGGAGAAACAGCTATAAAAGATTTGGGAAAAATTTGAAAATCTAGAGAGATTCTGCTTTCGGATTTATTTGCTCAAACCACATTAAGATCTCTCCCCATTCTGAGGACATCGAGACTGGAAATAGCAGGTGATGCACCGTGGATGTCGTTAATTGTCTGCATAATTCATCGCTGCCACTCTCTACATAACCTGGTGTTAAAGAGAGACGTCGCCGCCACGTCAATAAAACTGGAGAGTGGATGTGCACTTACGTATTTTGAATCAAAATGAAGAGTTTAAGAACATTTATATGCCATTCTAAGGTTCTACACAAGTCTTTGGTTGAGAGGCCTTCTCTTCTCAGAGGCATTGTACTTAAGAGCTGGCTCAGAGAAGGGTGATTTGGGGTCCCTGGGCTGGTTCTACCCACACACCATCTACTCACCATTTTGTGGTCTGCGCGACTCCAGACATCTTGGAGCCCAAAGTCTTCATTTTATGGATGAGAGACCTGGGGCAGGGTGTGAAGTTCTTGAGGTTCTTTCATTTCTTGGGTGAGGAACTAGAAGTAGAAGGTTGGTCTGGTTGAAAATGGCAAAGTGTCAGCTTCACCCAGATGAATTCATAAAATACACCAAGGAAATGAAAGGTGCTTTTAGGTGCTCTCTGCGACCTGAGTGCTGCCAGGGTCCTCTCACCGATGCCTTTGAGATCTTACCACTCGTTGAGGAAGCTTCCGGATACAGTGCCGCACTCGCAGCCCTGGCCGGCTGACAGGCCTGGTTTTGATTCTTCCTCTGCCACAAACCACCCCTGTGCCCTCGGGCAAGTCACAGATCTTCCCAAAGCTCTGTGATAGGGGGACACACCCTGATGTGAACCCCTTCATGTGCTTTTCTGCCATAACAAAATTCCTCTTTGCCAGCCAAGAAGATGGAGAGGAAGGGGCCATTATTAAGCACCTGCTGTATATTTGATGCTCGGTGATTTCAGGAAAGGGGTGTTGTCTTTACAGGTCAGGGAGCTGAGGCTCAGGACGTTTAGCCACTTGTCCAAGCTACAGTGAGCGCTGGAGGAAGCGCTCAAGCCTGGTTCTGGTTCTTAGGCCGCTCCTTGGAGCCTCCTGTTGTGCACAGCCACACCAGGCCACTTGCCATCTGAACACAACTGACTTTTGTCACCTCCTTCAGTCCTATACACCCACCCCCTCCCTGCCACACCTGCCACGCAGTTGTCTCTGCCAGTCTCTATCCCTGACTTGCCGCAAGAGCCAGCTGTCCCTGGCTGACCCCTTCCCATTTCGCTGAAGCGTGCTCGTGTGCACTAAATTCAGGGCACGATGCAGGGCGTGTTTAGAGGGTCGCTTCATCTTAAAAACATGTATAATACACAGCATGCTAGGTGCGTGTGTGCACATGTATGTATACACGTGTGTATGTGTGGGCACGCCCCCAGCTCCTGCTGCATTTTGTCTCCCAACTTTTTTTTTAAAATTCAGGTTAATATGAAGGTACAAACAAGTAGGTTACAATATTTGCATTTGATAGGTCCAGTCCTTCTTGTAGTTGTGTCGTGAACCCAGAAGTTGTGCCATGTACCCCTTGCGTCGTACCCATTCTGTGGGAGCACACCGATCCCCCTCCCTCCTCCCCTCTCCTGTTCCCTAACTCCTCCTCCCATCAACTTGAATTGAATTCAGTTTTTCGTTATGTATTAGTTCATCTCCTGGCTTCATGTTGGTGCCGAGTACATTGGATACTTGCTTTTCCATGCTTGTGATCCTTTACTAAGAAGAATGTGTTTCAACTCCATCCAGGTTAAATGCCTCCCAACTTGTGACAGCTCTGTGGACTTGCAGCCAGGTCCGGGGATGAGCTGGCCCTCGGCCACGTGCCACTGCCTCTCCACTGTGCACGAGCTCGCCTCTCTGCCGTCTCTTCCTTCACGTTCTTCTCTATTTTCTCTTCTTTCCATTCCTCAGGTCAGAAATTGGCAGAAGGGACTAAAAATACCTTGAGAAGCATGGAATAAGCCATTTTCAGCCATGTTTCTCACCCCTAAATACCCCTGCACCCCGGGCTCAGAAGACTTTCTAAAGTCAGCCCGCATGGAAGAGAGTGTGACCGTGTTCAATCAGGAATCCGGCAGAGGGAAGCTACCTGGGTGATATGTTTAACTGTGACGGGGCATCTAGCGTGTGGAGGAAAAGAATTTTTTATTTCAAAGTTTTCACATATCTTCAATTCTTTTCCAACTCTAAGAAGTTAAAAAAAATTAGTTTTCTTTTTGCCTCACTACAAGCCAGCACTTCTCCTTTTAAAAGTTTTTCGAGGGATGGGTGGTTTGAGTCTTTGCTCGAAGTTTTTCATCTGTGCAGTGGGGAGGAGCTGCTTACTTCCCAGGGCTGCTGTGCAGATTAGAGGGAGCAGTGGGGCGCTGCTAGCCGTGCCTGTGACCCGCAGTCCTTGGTGGAAGTGAGCCGCTGCCATGCGGTTACGACTGGCAAAGCAGGACAAAACTACTCTTCCTCCTTAGATTGAAAGCTCAAGTGTTGGGATTTTCCTCCTTGGGATACTTTGCGCATCAGTGCTG